CTGCTGAAGCCCAGACGATCGTCACCCACCGGGGGCTTTCCGTTGCCGCCGGTTGCATGTTCGGGGTGAGTGTGGCTCCTGGCATTTTCCAAAGCCTTATGGAGCGTCTCCTGCATAGGGCTTCCGGGCGTGGGTACCATATTTTGATGACGTCTTGGTGTCTGCAGACTCACACCAGCAGCTGTTCGAGCGCCTCCGTGCCGTGCTGACCAGGTTCCAGAGGCCGGGCTCAAGGTAAAGAGGGAGAAGTGCCAGATCGCCGTTTCCACAGGTAGAGTTCCTGGGCTATCTTATCGATGCCTCCGGTCTCATCCAACCACATCCAAGATCCGCGCTATCCAGCAGGCCCCCACCCCAAAGAACAAAACGGAGTTGCAGGCATTCCTGGGGCTGCTGAAACTTTTATAACATGTTCCTTGCCCCACAAAGCCACAGTGCTGAGGCCTCTTCACCGACTCCTTAGCACTAAGACGCCTTGGGCCTGGGGTCATCGGGAGACGGCGGCCTTCAACGCGGTCAAGGCTCTCCTTTCTTCAGACAGTGTGCTGGTACAGTACAGTGAATCCAGGCCGCTGGTCCTTGCCTGCCGACGCCTCACCTTTTGGCATCGGTGCTGGCTTAGTTACCGTTTTCCAGATGGAAGAGAAGCCACCGCTCGCCTACTTTTCCAGGACACTATCTCCGACGGAACGGAATTACAGCCAGCTCGACAAGGAGGCATTGGCACTTGTGGCTTGGAGTGAAGAGGCTTCCATGAATACCTCTATGCAGGACTTTTGACCTCATCACTGACCACAAGCCACTCCTGGGCCTCCTCGCCGGTGATCGTCCAACTCACCGGTCCTCTCACCACGCATGCGCGATGGACTGTTTTCCTGGCTGCCTACCACTACCGGCTCATCCATCGCCCGGGGAAATCGATGGGCCATGCCGACGCCCTCAGCCGTTGCCCTCTTCCAGCATTTGTGGAAGACCCGGCTCCAGCTTCATCGCTCCTTCTGATTGAGGATCTTCCGGCAGCGCCTGTATCGGCTGCCACTGTGGCCTCCGCATCTGCCCAGGATCGCACCATCAGCCGGGTGCTCAACTGGGTGTGGAGGGGGTGGCACAAGGGCCTTTTGCATCGGAGTTCCAGCCCTTCCAACCAGACAACATGAACTCTCAGCTCATCGCGGCTGCCTCTGTGGGGAGACCGCGTCGTGATTCCCCAGGGGACTCCGTCAGCGCGTCCTGGAGGCTCTGCACGTTGGCCACCCCGGAATGTCCAAAATGAAGGCGTTGGCTCGGTGTTACGTCTGGTGGCCTAATATGGACGATGCCATTCACTGCCTGGGTGTCCGCCTGTCAAGCGTGCCAGGAGTCGAGGCCTGCACCACCGGCAGCTAAGGGACACACCTGGGAGACGCCAAAGACACCCCTGGTCGAGGGTGCACATCGATCTGGCTGGGCCCCTTTCACGGCCGGACCTTTATGGTAGTGTGGTGGACGCCTATTCCAAATGGCTGGAGGTCGCCCTGATGCCCTCCACCACTACCGAAGCTGTCATCCGGGTGCTGCGAGGCCTGTTTGGCAAACGCATGGGTGTCCTGATGCCCTTGTCTCTGACAACGGACCACAGTTCACGTCAAGGCACGTTTGAGCGGTATCTTTTGGGACTGGGCATCCGCCATGCCCTAACGGCACCCTTTCATCCATCCAGCAACGGGCAAGCGGAAAGAATGGTGCGCTCGACAAAAGAGGCACTGGCGCGCCTGGACCGGGGAGACTGGCATGAGCGGGTCGCCGAATACTTGTTCGTGCAACACATCACCCCTCATGCGGCCACAGGGAGGAGTCCTGCTGAACTGCTTATGGGCCGCCGCCTCAGGTCACCGCTCGACCGGCTACACCCAGACTTTGCCGTGGCTGAACCCCAGGCTGTGCCAACGCACCACGGTCATTTGTCCCAGGAAACCAGGTCTTTGCCCGGAACTATGTGGGGGACATCCCTTGGGTGCCAGCCACAGTAGTGGGAGTCACTGGACCTCGCTCGTACCAGGTGGCACTCGAAGACGGACGCTTGTGGCGACGGCACATAGACCAGCTTAGGCGCAGGGTTGGGGACTTGGACACTACCGAGGTGCCCCCAACTGCGCTTGCGGCTCCAGAAGAGACACGTACAGATGGCGAGGCCCCACCTACACCTCCCTCGCAAGCTGCCAGCGTGGAGCCGAACCAAGCCGTTTCAGAACAGACTCAGACCACTCCACTTGCGGAGGCTCCACCCACAGCAGCGGATCCAGGGGAGTTGGTTCCAACGCCACCTAGGGTCGCACCACAGCCTCAGCGAGAAACTGTGTGGCCTCCGGACTTGGCTACCAGTCCCCGGCGGTCTGGCAGAGTTTCCAAGCGCCCAACTTATTTAAAAGACTATGTTGTTGGACAGGTATCACTGTTGGTCTAAGTATGGGAAATGTAACCGATATGCTTTTGTGCTTAATTGAACCATTACGCGTAGTGCTGTATATAAGGAAACCATTACGATTGTAACTAACGCCTTATCTCGGTGGGGAGGGGTGTTATGTAGTGTAGTTTCACCCTGGGCCAACAGGGGGATACTGTATATAGTTTTCACTCAGGTCTGTAGATAGTTTTCACTCAGGTCCGCGTCTGTTATTTTAGGCGGGAACTCTGGGCTGTTGTGGTTACAATGTTGACAGCCGGCTGCCTATAAATACAGGCCGGCTGAGCTGTTCGCAGTCAGTTCTATTCCAGCTTACCATAATAAAGCAGCTACTTGAAGAAATCGCTGTGCCGGCTGCTATGTCAACCCACGACTTAACAGTTTATTTCCTTGACATCTGATGGGAGGGTGTTCCAAAGGGCGGGCGCCACTACTGAGAAGGCCCTCTGCCTGGTTCCTGTAACCTCACTTCTCGCAGGGAGGGAATCACCAGAAGGCCCTTGGTGCTGCACCTCAGTGTTCGGGCTGAATGATGGAGGTGGAGATGCTCCTTCAGGTATACTGGGCCAAGGCCGTTTAGGGTTTTAAAGGTCAGCACCAACACTTGATGAGTTGAGTCTGCACTGATGTGAAAACTCCTGCAGATACCAGCACCTTCAGGCTGTGCCGCCAGAAGTGTGGTTCTAGATCACATACTTTGCCGGTCTTCTCATATTCCGGTGACTTCACTAGAGAGATGCCTGGCGGTGCTGGCTCAAGGATCTTCCCCATTCCCAGTGTTCCTTCTCCTCCAGGAAAACTGCTGCCTTCTAATTAACGCAGTAATTTCCCTCAAAGACAATCGTTCTCATGATATGAATCCCATTTCTCAAAGTGCTGTTGCACAGAACATAATAGGCAGTTTGCTCATCGCTGAGCATGTGTTTAATATTGGTTCCTCCCCACCCCCAAGAGAGAAGCAACATTTTAAGATGGTTAATTAAAGGAAAAGGTGCTGCCGTTTAATGCAATGAAGCCCGTGTGTGTGTGTGTGTGTGTCTATGACCGTCTGTCTGTGTCTGTGTAAAGCCGTTTCTGTGATCAGAAGGAACCGATCAAGAACTCCAGAGAGGAAACCTAAGAATTCTAAGCTGGGCTGCAATCCTTTGCTCCCTGGGAAGGCATTGTGGGAGCCGTAGGACAGCACAGATTTCATCTTTTATGGTGGATAGAGAGGTCTATGTGTAGAGCACATAGTAGTGGCAGCTGATGCCCATTGGGACTGGTTGGAGGGACAACAAGGAGCCTGACAGTAGGTGGCGCCAGAGCCAACCAACCAATTCTAGGTTTGTCCCCATCCTCCTCCCTGCTGAGTTCCATAAGGGCAGCATTGAGACTAAAAAGTTGGAAGCTGATAGCCAGGACTGGTTTTGTAAGCAGGAAGCCAGGCAGGTGGTGTGTGGCTGAGGGCAGAATGAGGTTGACGAGGCAGCACCCCATTCATCTGAATGGACTAGCTTCCATCGCCTTGTGCCAGTCATGCAATGGCTGCCATGAGGTGGTGTGCCAAAACACAAAATGGCTGCCATGGAGGCATGAGTGGCTGAGTCTACCCAAAGAGGTAGGAAGAGCAAACCAATTCTCAGGAGGATATCATTATGGAGACCTTTTGTGGGCATCCTAGGAGGTCATGGCAGCTACCCTGGCATCTATGGGAATTGTGACCTCTGGATTACACTGCTAAAAAGATATTTTTCATATAAGTACTAGTAAAAAACAACGACCAACAGACAGCAATCACCATCTTAGAACAGAAATACAAATCAACCGAGAACCTGCATTACTTTTTATTGACAAGCACATGGGAAAAAATCCTCTGCAGCAAAGAGAATTAATATCTCATATGATTGCAGGATATGTTATTGGAAAAGGATTCTGATCTCAGCAACAACAGAATATGATGCCAAAATGTGTGAATACACAGGCATGACTAAGCTTACAAGTTGTATGAGAGGGAAAGAAGGAAGGCAGAAACTCAATAGATTATTATTTATTATATTTATTTATTGCCTTTTGCTCTGAAATGCCTCTAAGTGAATTTAAAAACAGCAAAATTGTGATTGTGAATGTAGTAACCAAAAATTGTTCTTTCTTTCTTTCTTTCTTTCTTTCTTTCTTTCTTTCTTTCTTTCTTTCTTTCTTTCTTCTTCTTCTTCTTCTTCTTCTTCTTCTTCTTCTTCTTCTTCTTCTTCTTCTTCTTCTTCCTCTTCCATATTAATGTTTCTATTTATTCGATTGCATTTTTTCCTTCCTGTTTTCCTATTTCTTACATGTTTTTGAACTTCTTACGTATTTTTAATAAATATAAATGCTGAATGTAACTGACCTGTAGAAAGGACTTTATGAATTGAAAAAAAGGGTCGTAGGTACCCTTGTTAAGTATGAAAATCCTGTAATAAAAACAGCCTCAAAAGGGAAATAAATAAACATTAAATAAATAAATAAATAAATATTATAAAAACAATATTCATTAATCAAACTGATTCCACAGGAAGATGTAAGTAACACATATTATGCTCCCCCACCCTGATTTTCTTTCTGTTTCTCTAGGATGGATGATATCCAGTTATGTAAGGACATCATGAACTTGAAGAAAGAGCTGCAGAATTTAGTGGCAATCCCAGGTATTTTCATTGTGAATATTGTTAGCAAAGTCACTTAAATAACACAGATGGAGTCCAAAGAGAAAAGCCTTGATACTACTTTACTGAGAAAACTGAACCAAGCAGTGTATAATTTGAGGAGAAAAGAACAAAGGTTCCATTTTTCTTAGTTTAGGCTTTGTACATAGCAGGGTGACATTCAACAAAACATACAGAGGAAAATTACCTCAGAACTACACAGCCAATCAGAGCATGCACCACCTCACTCTGCTTGGTTGCTAAGCAACGCCTCCATCCATCCACCCCCCTGGCTAGTTAACTTTAACAGAATTAACCCATAAATTGCACACTGAATGATCCCTGCTGTTGCACTTCCAGCAAATATCATTTGCTTGCATTTCAAACAAACAAACAAACAAACAAACAAACAAACAAACAAACAAACAGTAACATCCAAATGAACAAAGGCCCCCAAATTTTATCTTGCTCTGGTGCAACTGCCATCAACCAACTTGCAATCTGAGCTATGAACCAGGAGTTCCCCAGTTCAGACCTTGCTTCTGCCACAAACTCACTAGGAGGCCTTAAACAAGCCCCCCGTCTCTCAGACTTAGTCCTCCCACCTGCAAAATGGGGAATAATACTGCAGCCCGCCCTTACATGGCTTTTGAAAGCATTGCAATGCAAGCAAAGTGCTCTGAAGACTCAGAGTGCTATACAAATGTTAAGGATGGTGATTATTTATTACAAGCTTGGCTCTGTTTCCATCTGTGAAACGCGGAAGGATATGAAGATAAGGCTGTAGGAATAGCAGTTGTCACCTGTTCTAATTAATCAAGGCAGCATTGTGCTGTAAAGCTGGGACTAGAGAGCGGGGTGATGCATCAGTAACAGAGACTGAGCATCAAAGCAACATTTTTTAAAAATGCTTTGTGGGCCTGATTAATACATTCAGCAGTGGTGGTGTGGGTTATCGTTCACATATATAAAACCAGATACGCACAGTCAGAAGCTGTGTGCATTTATAGTTTTGCTGTGCTAGTGTAACAGATACACATACAGTGGTACCTCGGGTTACATACGCTTCAGGTTACATAGACTTCAGGTTCCAGACTCTGCTAACCCAGAAATATTACCTCGGGTTAAGAACTTTGCTTCAGGATGAGAACAGAAATTGTGCTCTGGTGGCATGGCAGCAGCAGGAGGCCCCGTTAGCTAAAGTGGTGCTTCAGGTTAAGAACAGTTTCAGGTTAAGTACAGACCTCCAGAACAAATTAAGTACTTAACCTAAGGTACCACTGTACACAGCAAAAAACCAGTAACATCCTTCCACTCTAAAATAGAGAGGTAAACGGTGGCTTCATTCACATGGCCGTTTATTCTGTTTTTGGGATGTTTCCCTAATTTGCACATTACATTTGAGTTTTCAAACAACCTAAAAGCCACTTTGGGAAATATAGCAGAATAAAGCACAACCTTTGTTATTTTATTTTTAAAATTGTAATTATTTTAAAACAGAAAATGCTATAGGTGTGGTTAAAAATGAAATAATGGGGAATTCCCCAGAGGCCTGGGATCCAGGTTTAGGGCAAGTACTCTTTGGTGAGAAAACCCCAGCAGAGATTTAAAATCACAAAACACGCAGCAAAGTAAATTATGGAAATATAGTCTGTTACACCTTTATAATATCCCCTTCCAAGTTTCTTCCAGAGTGCCCCACTTCCCTTAGCCTATAAAGAGATCACATGTTTGGTAGTTAAAAATGGTTTATTTGCAAACTCTTCAAAGATCAGCTTCATGTGCTCTTCCATACATCAGCGAGAAAAGACAAGCAGCATAACTCTGGTTTCACAATTGTCAGGGGCTCAGGAGCAGAGGCGCAGGGGAGAGAGGAAATGGAGAGCGAAGGGGAAGAATCTGAGGGCAGCGGAGGGCAGAATGACAGTGACCCGAGAGATTCCATAGGCCTCTCCAGTGAATCAGAAGATTCCCAGAAGGGGGCGCCGATGGCCAGGGCAAGGGGGGTCCCAGGGGGGACACACCAGAAGCAGGGGGCCAGCGGAGACTCCCAAAGCAGTAGCTGGAAATCAGGACCAGCTTCCCCACCAGAGCGTAGTGGGGGGGAAGAGCCCCATAGGTCAGAGTCAGCGTCTCCTCCGGCAAGCAGGGAGGAGGAGTCAAACCCAGCTAGCGTCCCCAAAGAGGGAAGCAGCGACAGGAGCAGTATAACGGTCAGAAGGAAGGTGACAGGCTGGGCGCGCGCGCCAAGTTCAAATGTACAGGCGCGCGGGACAGCAGAAAACCCGGATTGGGATCCAGGTCCTAAAGCTCGCCGGAGGGAGGGGGAAGACTCAGGGGACTCAGCGTCAGAAGAGTCTAGGAAGGGCAAGACCTCGGCGGACAAGCGGACCCAGAGGAGGAGGGAGCAGAGGAAGAGGTGGAGCAAGGCTAGGGTCTTAAACTGGTGTCTGGGGGGAGGAGACTCAGACGGAGCTTCGGCGGTCTAGGGTTTAAGACGTAGAGCTGCGCGCCGTGGCTGTAAAAGAGAAACTGAACTTCAATAAAGATTATTTTATATAACAACGGACTGGCGTTGGTCCTCTGTGAGCTGGGACCTGAGGCAGCTCTGACAACAATGGTAAATGTTTATGAGTTATTTCTACAGAAACACAAAGATTGTTTTCTAAAGTCATGCGGTCTAAGCTTGGAGCATTCAGCTTAGACATCCTTTCTGGTAGTTCACATGGTGGGGGAGAGAGAACAAAGAGTTTGGTTACCCTTCCTTCCAAGGTGAGGGGGTGTGACCTAGCTAAGCCTGGCAGAACAGCTTCCTCTATGGTCTTAACCCCTTCATACATTAAGTAGACTTTAGCATGCCGGTTATATGAGGCTGATTTATCCCAAAACCTTTGCTCTCATTTCTATGGTGTTGCAAACATCCCTCCCTCCCCCCACCGGAAGCAAATAGCACAGCGATAGGTGCTAAACTTGCACACGATTCCTGGAAGTGGCCTTTAGGTCATGTGAAAGCTCATATATGATGTGGAAATTAACAGACAGAGAGATGGACTAAACTGCCTTGTGAATGCAGCCTGTGACAGATCCTAGATGGCATAAATGCTTGCCCACTTTGTATGTATCCGTTTAACAGAGAACCAAAGTCTCCTGAGAGATCCAGAAGTCATCTGTTTTGCTGAACAGTGGGAACTGAGCTCAAGGATATGTTTTGGGAGACTATTAGTTTGGCTGTGTCATCTTGGAGCCTGGAAAAAACCAGCTGCTCAGGAAAAACAGCAGCTCAGGCTTCTCCTTGCTAAGCAAGCTTGGGTTCTTGAAGTGTGATAGTAACTAGGGCTACAAGCCCTAGAGAGGGGAGAGAGAAATGTTGACGTAGACTAAGAAAGAAAGAGAAAACCATCATTCTCTTCCTTCTGTGCCCTTCTGTGCCCCTGATATAACACGATTGGGACTAAGGGAAGGGGAAATTAATTGTGCAAGTACGGACTGTTTCTTTGTAAACCATTCCTACATTTAAAACTGTTTGTTTGATCCTGTTTTATTAACATATAAGAACTCACACAAGCATACAGACATAATATAGGTAAACCAAAAAGGTAACCCCTGTATTTAATGGCCTATGCCAGGTATAGGGAACCCTTTGCAACTCTAGGACCGCATTCCCTTCTTTGCAATCATCCAGGGGCCACATGCCAGTGGTAGGAGAGGCCAGAGGTGTGCAGGATCAGCCCATATATTCATCTAGGCCGGCATCCTCTTCCCACAGTGGCCAACCCAAGAGGCCTGCCACTCTCAATTTGGAGCAACTGAATCGTCCAACAGGTGTGGGGGGGTAAGGCCTGCTACAGTAGCTACAGGGGGGCTAGCCAGGTTTTTTTGCCCCAGAGGGGTAGCATTGAGGCTCCCAGCCTGTGTGTGGGGGTATGCAAATGCGTGTGAAGGGCACCAAACTGGATTTTTTGATCTGGGTGCAATAAAGCCTTGTTTCGCCCCTGTCTCTACTACCCAGGAAAGCAGGAAATATGCAGTTAGCTTCTGAGGCTGCAGCCGCTGCTCCATGTTCCACCCCAGTTTCTTTCTAACTCTTTTTCACAGCCCCTTTTCACCACATTTTACTGCAGGCAGATGAAAGGGTTCACGCAGCGGCATGGTTAAAAACTATGGAATTTGATCCCACTAGAGGCAGTGATGGGCCGCCAACTCGGACGGCTTCGAAAGTGGATTAGCCAAAGTCAAAGAGGAAACGGCTGTCGGCGGCTGCTCAGTGGCATGGCTATGTCCTACCCTCCACTGGAGTGATGCTTCTGAACACTGCTGCAAACTGTGGGATGTGAAACACAGAGCAGTGAAGTACAACGTCCCTAGAGAGGACATAAATAGGGGGTGTCTGGACCAGCCAGTTGGAACTTCCTGTTTCCTCCTAGGCTGGGACAGACTTCCTCTACATGTGACCAGAGGTGGGCGTGGCCTCACCTGTACAGGTAACAAAAGCATAGGACTGGCTGCCATCTCTCTCTCTCTCTCTCTGACTACATTCGTCGAAGAAGCAAAATCTGCTTAGCCTAAGATGCTCTAGAGAGGATGAAGGGACTGTCTCCTTATGGGATAGTTTCCAGGTATATTACTTTTGTAACTTAAGTCTGCCTTATGGGATCCATCTGTGAACAGAATGAGCAAGTGAGTAAACTCTTTTTATACTTTTATAGAAGACTGTGTTGTGTCTATTTCTTTTATGAGGGACTAAAGGGGAAAGTACCAGGTAACTTATTTTAGAGGCTTTAGCGAGCCTGAGCAAATGCATCTGATGTGCAAGTTGAAAAAGGGGAATGTTACTCTGCTAAATTGTAGAACTTGTTAACACAAGTTGGAAAGGATATGATCAAACAGTATATATCCTCTCCTGCATCCCTGAACATTCCTACACAAACTGCAGGAGAGAAGAGTGCTCTTGCACTCAGGGGCTGCTCGTAAGCTTCCCGCCGCATCTGGTTGGCCATTGTGAAAGCAAGATGCAGAATTAGATGGGCCACTGGATTGATCCAGCAGGGAACTTCTTATATTATTATACTGCCTCCAGCAGTAGAGGTGTACAATACAGAAATTATGTACAACACTGCCCTTGCTCATGCGAAAGCTGTGCTCAACACCCCTTTGGATTGCGCCCAATTCTTCTGTCCAAAATAGTGACCGTTTTTCTTCTTCATTCGAAGCATCGTTGTGTCTCGTTGCAAAATATTTACACCTCTCCCTGCCACAAAGACACTCTATGGAGTCTGAGAGTAATTTATAGCTCTCCTGGTGGCTGTTTTCTACCCGAGTCGCAAAAGGTACACAGTGTATTTACTTCCTTAAAGGCAGCTTACAAAGTGTTCCCATCCTGTTCCTGGGGGTTTGTGTGTAGATTTATTGCCTGAATTTTGAACAGGAGATGAAGCCGGCAATGGCCAGGAGATTAAGTTGGTAATAAACAACTCCTTTCAAATGTCAAGTTTATTTGAAACTTCTTCTAACCAGTGCTTTTTATCTAGAAAAAAAAGGTGCCAGTACTGTGTGCCCTTAAGCACCCCTGGAAAAAACAGCACTGTGTATCCATCCCTATAGCACAAAATCAGGCAGAATCCGAAGAAAATTCAAACAAGTGTATTCTGCTCCTTCTTCTTGTTGTTTTTTACCTCCACTGTCTTTTGAGCAGAAAAAGAGAAGACAAAGTTGCAGAAGCAAAGGGAAGATGAATTGATTCAGAAGATCCACAAACTGGTGCAGAAAAGAGACTTCCTTGTTGATGACGCCGAAGTAGAGAGATTAAGGTAATCGCATGGGAGAATGGCTTGTTTCCAAGACTTGGAGGAGACTCGGTTTTGTTTTTTTGCCTGTGATGCACTTTAACAAACTAACCAACACTCTGCCTTTTGACATGTAAGCTTCTGCGGCAGCTGACAACCTGAACTTTAAACAGCCAGTCAGTTCCCAACAAGAAAACTACAGAAAAAGCAACGGTTAAAAAGCAACAACCACAAGCTGTAGCTCAGCAGAGGAGCATATCTTCCATCACATGCAGAAGGATCCCCCACAGCATCTCCACATAAACATACCGTATTTTTCACCCTATAGGGCGCACCGGCCCATAGGGCGCACCTAGGTTTTTTTTTTGGGGGGGGGGATAAAGATTTTTTTCCCCCAGGCCAGGGGCTGGGGCGGGGGAAGCCCGAGCTTCCCCTGACCCTTGACCCCAGCCCCCAGAACAGGCTGCTATCCGCAAACCTTGGGAGCCCGGCGGGAACTGCGCTCCCCGGGTTTCGGGCTGCAGGCTGCTGTCTGCAAGCCTTGGGAGCCCGGCAGGAACTCCCGCGGGCTCCCAAGGCTTGCGGATAGCTTCCTGAAGCCTGGAGAGAGGGAGGGTCTCCAGGCTTCAGCGAAAGCCTGCATTCGCCCCATAGGACGTGTTGAATAGTGGGTAGACATGGCAGACGACACAGCGATTTCTCCAAAGCAGCTCTTTATTTTGTAAGCTGGAACAGAAACTGAACAGCAAACAGCTCAGCCGGCCTGCTTTTATAGGCAGCCAGCTGTCAACATTGTAGCAACAACAACCCAGGGTTTCCCACCTAAAATAACTGACGTGGACCTGAGTGAAAACTATCTACAGTATCCCCCTGCTGGCCCAGGGTGAGAACTTCAGTACATAACACCACGCACACGCATTTCCCCTTCATTTTTGGAGGGGGAAAAGTGCATCCTATAGGGCGAAAAATACGGTACTTCCCAGGCCAGCTGAAATCCTGGAGAGTGTAGACAATATACTTTGTTCATTGAACCCCTATGCTTGAGCAGAGCACTTGCGCATTTGCCATAGACTGAGTGGAAGGCATCTGTTTCTGCCTATATTAATTCCTTGAATTCTTGTTATTATTTGCTTTTATACTAGTGCTTTACTGGTTTCTCACTCCACACTTTTCCTTCCTATTTTTATTTAGGCAAGGGCCCTAGCTCAGTGGGAGAGCATTTGCATGCAGCTGTTATAAGAAAAATACTGCTCCCTTTCCCTTATGGGGTATCCAAGAGCCCATAGAGTAGGTTCTCTATTGGTAGGAGAAAGTAACAGAGGCCAACCAGAGAATACTGAGAAGCAAAGCAGTTAGTAAGCATGATCTTTATTAAACTGTTGCAACAGGGTTCCCCACTCACCCCATGCAGGGAGGGAGGAGAGGAACCCAGAACAATGGTGTGCAAGCTCTTATATAGACATTTGAAAATTGCCTCCCCTGTAGCTCAAGACCACCCCCCAAAACATCATACATACATCAATGAAGGGGCAGTCTACAGCAGAAAACCTGTCTGCCAGGAGACCTGATAACAGTCACTGATTGCTTTTACCTGGGCATCCTGACCATTCTTTTGTGATGGTTAATACTCAGTTCCTGAATCCAGGTCACAGGCTCACCCTATTCATACATAGATACACTTAAGACAGGATTTGTGAGCAAAGAGACAATGGGGAGGTTTTTCCCATTTCCTTCCTCCTTGCAGAGAAACAATTGAGGTCAATTTGGGAGAGTAAAAATGGTTTCTGGATTGCTTCCCTGTACTATTTCAGACACGTAGTTTGTACCTCCCTGTACTATTTCAGACACGTAGTTTGTACCGTATACTTATGTATGTGTTTGCCTTTTAAATTTATGAACCTATGATTTATATTTATGAGACCTTAGAATTCCTATAACACAGTACACACCTCGGGTTCAATCCCCAGCATCTCCAAGTTGGCCTGGGAGTGTCTCTTGTGTGAAAACCCCCCAGAGAAGGGCTGCCAAGCCAGTGTGAACAATGTTGAACTAGACAGACAAATCATAGAAGCATAGAATCATAACACCATAGAGTTAGAAGCAGTGGCAGACTTTTCAAATTTCAGCAGGGCCTTGTGTGATGCCAAAATCCAGCACCCCCCATTCATAGCTGTCAACTTTCCCACTTTCCCCTTATTCTGAATAGGATTTCTCGCAAGAAAAGGGAAAAGTTGACAGCTATGCCCCCATTGTTTGTCTTTTCTTGCGACATCCCCTGTGGAGCCCTCTCGGCTTGGTGCCCAGTGCGGCCAAACTGGCCATGCTTCCCTAAATCAGCCTCTGCTGGGACTTCAGGGCTCATCTACTCCAATCTGCTTCAATCCAAGATTCTCAGCTAAACCATCCATGACAAAAATGGGCCTTCCAACCACTGCTTTGAAACCTGCTATGAAGGAAAGTCCACCACCTTCCAATGATTTAGTACAAGTCAGTTTCCTGTTGTTTGTCGTGTAACTTCTGCTGATCATCACTTTTCATTGCATCTCTCAGTTACATTAAAATTAAGCTGCTGGTTCCCACCCACCCCAAGTCCACCACCTAATTTTGTTATTTTTTGCTTTGAAACAGAGAGAAGGAGGAAGACAAGGAGATGGCGGAGTTCCTCCGGATCAAGTTGAAACCCTTAGACAAAGCCGTGCGATCTCCAACTAGTGAGTTTTCAAAACTCTTCTAAATACTTTGGTGAAGCTCTCTCTAACAATGAGCTGCGGAGTCTTCATGGTTTGCATAAAGCTAATGTAAGGATTGGATAGCAGCTTTATGCAAACCATGAAGACTCCATGGCACCCATTCCATCTCCTGCATGCACACTTTTTCTGTTCCTTCCAAGAAGGCAGCTGTTGTGCAGTGAGATCACACCCACACCATATATTTAAAGCCAATTTGAAGTGGCGTTGCACCCCCCCCCACAAAACCCTGGGAGCTGTAGTTTGTGCTGAGAATCATAGCTCAGTCCCCAGGATTATTTGGGGAAGACTATATACTTTATAAGGGACGCGGGTGGCGCTGTGGGTAAAAGCCTCAGCGCCTAGGGCTTGCCGATTGAAAGGTTGGCGGTTCGAATCCCCGCGGCGGGGTGCGCTCCCGCTGCTCGGTCCCAGCACCTGCCAACCTAGCAGTTCGAAAGCACCCCCGGGTGCAAGTAGATAAATAGGGACCGCTTACTGGTGGGAAGGTAAACGGCGTTTCTGTGTGCTGCGCTGGCTCGCCAGATGCAGCTTGTCACGCTGGCCACGTGACCCGGAAGTGTCTCCGGACAGCGCTGGCCCCCGGCCTCTTGAGTGAGATGGGCGCACAACCCTAGAGTCTGTCAAGACTGGCCCGTACGGGCAGGGGTACCTTTACTTTTTTATATACTTTATAGATATAATTTTTATTAAATTTTCTAATTTACATTTCAAAATATTCATTTAAACAACCGTAAATCAGTGATGTGTAAAAGGGTAAGAGAGTATATAATGAATTAGGGGGGGGGATGTTTAAAAGTACCTTTCCAAAAAAACCAGAGTCCTTTTTGTTGGGAATAATTCAGAGGGAAATTCCCAGGAGCCAAAAAAGACTATTTATGTATGCTACTTTGGCCCGCGTCTTGTTAGCCCCAAACGGGAAAACGAGTAAGGTCCCAACCAAAGAACGGCAACTTAAGCTGATGGAATATGCGCAACTTGCAGATTTAGCATACAGAATAAGAGAACAAGAAGAATATACGTTTAAAGAAGACTGGAAAATGTTTGAATATATGGGTGAAAATGGTGTTCATTTAAAAATGCTGGTAGCATTAAGATAAATTCAACAGTGTTAATAAGTTTTGATGGCTGTAACAATGGTTTACTGAATAGTTAATGTAAAGTATGCAGGGATGTTTGGTATGCAAAATGAACCATAGAAAGAGAAGGGAAGTCACTGGTTTAAAGGAAGACTATACAGTATACTAGGGACGCGGGTGGCGCTGTGGGTTAAACCACAGAGCCTAGGGCTTGCTGATCAGAAGGTCAGCGGTTCGAATCCCCACGACGGGGTGAGCTCCCGTTGCTCGGTCCCTGCTCCTGTTGCTTGGTCCCTGCTCCTGCCAACCTAGCAGTTCAAAAGCATGTCAAAGTGCAAGTAGATACCGTATTTTTTGCTCTATAAGACTCACTTTTTCCCTCCTAAAAAGGGGAAATGTGTGTGCGTCTTATGGAGCGAATGCAGGCTGCGCAGCTATCACAGAAGTCAGAACAGCAGGAGGGATCGCTCTTTTCACTGCGCAGCGATCCCTGTTGCTGTTCTGGCTTCTGAGATTCAGAATTTTTTTTCTCTTGTTTTCCTCCTCCAAAAACTAGGTGCGTCTTATGGTCTGGTGCGTCTTATAGAGCGAAAAATACGGTAAATAGGTACCGCTCTGGTGGGACGGTAAACAGCGTTTCCGTGCACTGCTCTGGTTCGCCAGAAGCGGCTTAGTCATGCTGGCCACATGACCCGGAAGCTGTACACCGGCTCCCTCGGCCAATAAAGCGAGATGAGCGCCACAACCCCCGAGTTGGCCACGACTGGACCTAATGGTCCGGTCCAGTCCTTTACCTTTATACTTTAACTGTGCAACAATTTACCCAAAACTTTCCATCATTCACAGTGGGGTTTTGTTTTTAAAACAACAACACTGCTCCAGCAGATACTTTATTTTAAAGCCTCAGCCTAGGATATTAAAGACGTTCTCCATTTTTCCGACCACAGGTACGCCAGCAGAGAAGAAGGCGGAGCCCCCTCCTCTTCCTCCAAACAAGCCCACCATTGCGAAAGCAGGAATCGCTATCATTAAGGATTGTTGCGGCACCACCCAGTGCGCCATCATGTAGCTCCCTCGTCACGGGGCACCGCCTCCCCCCCTGCCCCCTACGCACTCAACCCAACAGACGGGAAAACTGTGGACGGAAGAGGACTTTTAAGCATCCAGATATCTTGATAGTAGAGTTTCCTGTACTGTTTTTTTACAGTAACTGTTGTGTACTGAATGTACCTGTCGGTGACTCCTTCACTGTTGCACGGATCACTCAGTGAGCATGCCTAGGTTTAAGACAAGGAGTATATATATATATATCTAAGTATAACTGTATCTCCAGGAGAGGGAAAGACTTGTATAGGAAAAAGAGAGACAGACAGATACTAGGGAGAGGGCTCACAGGTAACAGGCAGGTACCACTTTTTATCCTTATATATAGATCTGTGTGTATATAAGATATGTATATGGGGAGGAAAACACCCCCCCACGCCCTCTGCCAGCTGTGAAATAGAAAATCATACCAAGTAATATGTAGAATAGCAATTTTAATAGTCTGTGCGTAGAATAGGATGCGCTCCACACTTCTTTCCGTTGACAAGACAGCATTTGCTCCCGTGGGCAGAATAAAAACATGGCATGGCAGCTCCTTTTAGCATCTACATAATGAATAAATATTGTAAATAGGACAAGGCAGTTGGTAGTCTACCGACCAGTCATCTGTCAGACTCTTGTGGTTGTATGCAGCACGTGCTCTTACATCGGTTCACTCAGTAAAAGCCCACAGAGGATTTGGGACTCTCAGCCGCTCCCCGCATGTACTAAATGGTAAGAAATGGCAGGGATGCATGGCATGAAACTGGCATCACATAAGTGGCCATTCAAAGCAAAATTCAGAGTGTCTGAAATTGCCTGTGCTTAATCTTAAGTGTTTTATCCAACAGAGTTCTACTCCCACTCAGTAGGTCTAAGTCAGTTGTGCTCAGTAAGTTCAATGGGCTTGCTCCACATAGAGCTATCATAGGACTAACTCTGTAGTTATGAAGACCATTCCAGCAATGATGACTTTCAGCCGGCCTCTTACTTTTTAAGAATGTGGGGTTTCTGCTGTGCAGAGGGGGCTTTAATCCGGCCTTGTTCTTATTTTTTTTAAAGAAACAAAACTGACAAGGTTGCATGCTTGCTTGGAAATTTTATTGACAACTGTTTGGTCCCAACACACAAAACAGCACTCGAGCCACAAAACTGTCCAAATGGGAGTAGACAACGGAGGAGAAAGGCGAGCTTTGTCTCCTTGAGAGTGCATAAGTTGAGGGCTTCAGTGATATTTTTAAAAACAACCAAGAAATCAAAATTAGTGAAGTGTAAATGAAATAATTTCATTCCCTTAATTCTTTTTCCAATCAGTCCAGTCACATTATTTCTTCAAGCCTTCGTAGAAAAACAAAAACAACCCCGCCCCCCACAAATTAGCTGGTTTCACACAATGAAAAACAAACTCCCCAAAAGGTAGTCTATAACTTTCATACAGCGATTTAGGTCAGAATTACACATGACTCCAGAAAGATTTCTCATTCTCTACAGGTGGCACAACCCACACCTGTATTCCAGGTACATTAAAAGTACTGTTATTTCTCCTTGAGTTTTCACCAAAACTTGGTCTATTATAGATGACTTGCAACTGTGGCTCAAAATGATGACTGTTTTTGCATTTGCATGACAGGCCCCAATTGGTCAGGTCTTTGTTTTATGCAAGCAACACATAAGGTAAATGGAAGATGTCCTCACACTTAAAGTCATGAAATGGTTCCATTCTTCTTTTTTTAAAATAATAATAATAATCATCATCACTCCTATAAACCCCATCTCTGTAGAGGAAACATAAGGATTTACACACACAAACACACTGTGCCTTGCCATGATCTCAGAAAATCTTCCAGTCCTTCTCTGCATTCGTAATGGCTATATCATTATTTAGTACTGTACTGTTTAATACTCGGCTTTGTTTAAAAAACACTTTTTAAAAACAAAATCCATTTCTTCTTATTTTAAAAATAGGTCGTCTATAGCCATCAAGTGGCATTTTTCAGTTGCTGGCTGTGAAATCTAAGGCTGCTTTTTCAGTCTCACACACATTTCAAAAATATTATTTGTACGCACATATCCGTTCAGCCAGTGGAAACCTTTGCTATAGGTTCCTTCTTTCTGACGAGCAATTAAGAATCCTTGCCTGGCAAATACAACCCATTGTAAGTGCCAAGTTTACCCAACGGGGGGTATAAAAGCTTTGGTCAGAAGACATTTGAGCTCTCTATAAAAAATAAATGTAGAAGGACTCCACTGACTTGCCTCCTTCGACAAAGGCCTGCCTTTCTAGACACCAACAGAAATGCCACTTATAGGAACTGGAAGGGAAAAAACCACACACAAGAGCAGGTTTGAGCACTCAAAGTAAACATCAGAATAAAGACCAGACACAGTTAAAAACATACTGACTCACATTAAGCTTCCCATTTACTGGATCTTTAAAATGAGGAAAAGCACCATAACTTTGGCATTTCCATGTGCTGCTCATACTTTTGTGCAAACGGAAGTAGAATCATTACTTTCCATCTTTAAAAAAGCTCATTTAAACCCCCTTGCTGTGATTTATAACGTATGTACACTTAAATGAATATTTGAAATATCAAATACTCCCAGTAATCTCATCGGCGGATGCTGCAAGAAGCACCTCAAAGCTGACTTCAAAATGCAAAACACAAAGACTTGCTTTTCCTAAGCCAGAACAGCATCAACTTGGAGCGCTCAATAAAAGGGAAGCTTAAAAACATCCTCACCTTCCTACGAGATTCCTCAGTGGAACTGATTACAGAAAGCATTTAAAAGGGGGGTTGTAATCAATCAATGTAATCCTCTACAGCAGGAATGGGTAGCTTGGGCCCTCCAGATGTTATCGTACTACCACACCCATCATCCTTGGCCATGGGTCATGCTGGCTGGGGGGGCTGTAGTCTACAACATCTGGAAGGCCACAGGTTCCCTAGCCATGCTCTACAGTCATCTTTTGACAAGAGACAATTACAAGTCATCAGAAAAAATCCTAGGCTTTGCTCTCACCAATTTAACCCTGAAGATGCCACTGCAGGTTTTATTCCAATCTAATGACTTATTAAAAATAAAGTTCTCAATAGGCTGCTTTGCCAAAACAGACGATGCATTTGATTATTACCTGTCTGGAAAACGCACATTAAAAATTGCCTGTAGATTCATATGCTATATGAAGGCTTTACATCAGTGATGAGGTTTCAGAAACTCAAATTCCATCCCACTCCAAGTTTAGCATTTGCTAGTTTTTTCCTGACATTCGACAGAATGTAAAAAGGAACAGTAAAACATTTAATGCTTGAAGTTTCAAATAAAAATACCTGCCCAGCTGAACTCAGTGTAAACTGAACAAAAATCTCACAAAAGGTAGTCAACAGTGACAAAGATAAACACAAGTGACCACCCGCCCGCCCCCATCCCATCTGTGATTTAAAATATAAAGGGTAGCCAATAGCTTCATTTTCTGTGCAGTCTGACAATGCGTTGCCTCTCACAACACGACATAGTTTAAAGCTTGGTTACAGGTGCAAGTGAAAAATTTGCTGCCAACTTCACTCTGTTTTTATGCTGCCTTTTGACTGGGCTGTCCATGGCTTCTTTGCTCGGCTGCGGTTCAACTGAAGGGCAGGGAGGTGCTGGTGTATTTTCTGCAGCTTTCGAAGCTGCATGTAAGTGGCTCGCCTCTTCTTTAGCTCTCAAAGGACTAACAGCATTCTCCTCCTCTTTCGTTAAAACAATCATCTCTAAAAGGGAAAGCAATACCGTGAAGTTTTCAGAGCAAAATTATTTTCAGATGCATCTGATCTGTGCACAAATACAGCAAGTTGTCTCCTTCAATGAAAGGATGCATAGCCTGAGCAAGGCATTATTTACATTTTGCTGAATACATGAACGTTGACTGCCACTGGCTAGAAATGCAAGCAAACAGGATGTGGTCCTTGTTACATATTGGATCCTGGTGTTCTGAAGTCCAGTACAGAAAGCTGTGAGATCCGGCGGGAAACTAAGGCTGCCAAAACTCACTGGAGAAAAAAGTTGTTCCAATAGGGATGTGTGTTATCTTAGCAGCATGTGGAAGCTGGAGTTGGACATGGTTATATGGAACACTTCCATCCCTGGATAAACTTGCTTAGGCCTTTTGAACTAAGGGTGGGAAGCAGACTAGTGTACTGAGCTACTCTAAACAAGGTAACTTTTGAAAAGTGGAGACAATCAATGTGAAGTGGCATTCACTACTACTGCAAGGGGATTGCTAAAGGGCTGTGAATTCTACCAATTAACTTCTCACGACACAGAAGTACTTCATTGCTGGTATTTTGGCATTATATACATGAGAAGTTTATGCATTCAAACAGAGCATTTTGCTGCATTTATAGACTAGGCTTCCAATTGCAGTAAAATTGCAATGGAAGGGAAGTGCAACGATTTTGGAGGTCCTGAAACAAAGGCAGAATGGCTCCTATTGGAAACAGCTACTGGTCAGAACGTCCAAGGACAGACCTCCTTTAAGAGCACACTCATTTTTACCTGAAAGGGTTGGTGGATGTTCTTCGAACTGAATGAGATCTGCCGGTACAAGGATGACTGGGTCTGGTCTCAGTTGCGGGGAAGGCAGACAGGAAGGGACAGGCTCACACAACAGATCCACAGGTGACATGTTTGTGAGGCAAAGCAGCTCTTGCTCAGTCGAATTAGAGACTGCAGGAAAAACAGAGAGGAGAAATTGTAACTCACTACCAGGAGTCAGGAGGTCAGCAATAAAAAACAAATCATGTTAGTGAAGTTAACAACTCTATTCCAAGAAACGAAAACCATGCAGGCCTAGTGATCCCAACAACTCTTCCCAGTAGGTGTTGGCCCAATGAGGCAGTTGCAAGGACTGAAGGTCCTTTCCCACAGTTGCTTATGTCCCCTGCTTTTCAGAGTTTTTTCCAAGCAATCAGTTTGCATCCAATCTCTCTTCTGCTCATTTCTCTGCATGTTCTGGGAGACCAGCAGGGAGGGGAACTGGTTGCAGCAGGAGGGAAACTCCCTAGATTCTTCAGCAGCTGGCCTCCTCTCTCTCTGCCTCCTGGCCCCCTTCCTCTCTGGCCTCCAAATCAGGACTGCTCTCTGCCCCAGCCTCTTCCTGCTCACTAAACCCGGTTGCCTCTTCTGTTTCCAACACCTCCTCCCAGTCTGTTCCCTCTTCTCCCCGACCGCTCATTGTCGTCTGTCCCCCCCCCCCAGACCCCTGGCTCTGAGCTTTCTTCCCCTGGGGGTCCCCTTGGGGGTTTCCCAGCTGGTGCCTCCCAGTACTCCTCTGCATCCAGCCAGTTCATCATGGGTTCTGACTTTCCTCTCAGAGTAGTAGTTGACTCCCAGACGTCAACAGAGCCTTGCAGACCCAGTGGCCCAAGCTCAAAAGGAGGCATGAGTTAGGCAAACGGCTTTCTGGATCATAGCCACAGTGACTGCCTTTACTTGTTACCAGCGATTGTGACCACCGTGCCCAATTTATCCCCAAGCAGATTTAGTGTTGCATTCAACTAAGTCCTACTCAGAGCAGACCCACTGAAATCAATGAAGCTAAACCAGCCATGTTCACTATG